TTAACAGCCACACGGAGTGCGATTCTCTTCGGCGGGTAATGTACTGCCATTTTCAGGAGTGCTCGTGTCGTGCCTGGGCCAAGCCGTCCATCTACTTTCATTTCATCCTTCTGCAGTGGTTTCTGGGGGCGGGGGCACGGCGAGCCGGGATGCTGTCCCAGGAAGCGAGCGGCATGGGGCGGGAGGCAGGGGGCTTCCTGGATGGCAAGCACTGCTTCCCACAGGCCGCCACACTGACGACAAGCAAAAGCGCTAACACAAAAAACGAGTGAAAAAAACGTAATAAAAATACAGTCATACGAAATTGCGCAATGCATACACGCATTAAGAACAATGCAAAATTAATTAAACCGCAAACCTTTAAATTAATTCAAATATATGTGTAAAAAAAACATAATTTACGTGAGAAACATTAAGAAAAAGTCTTAATTGTGTTTAGCTGTGCGTAGATCTAGGATACAAGGCTGGTTATTTGTATAGTAAACAAGTACAGGTAACACACTTTATATGAATGTTGCTGAAAAAAATCAAATAAAAGCCACACAAAGAAATGTCCCCTTCAACCAATCAAGGGCCATGTAGCAGAAGCCAAACAAAGAAATGTCCCCTTCAGCCAATCACGGGCCATGAAGCAGAAGCCAAACAAAGAAATGTTCCCTTCAGCCAATCACGGGCCACGTAGCAGTTTTGTTTGAATGTGGTGTTCTCTCAATTCTTGTCTATGTGACCAGAATGCTTGGCTATCATGTTCACATTGCCATTTAGCTGACACCCTCTACCTATACTAGCTGATAGAGAAGGAAATTATCCTGAGGCGAGTGAGATTAAGTACCCTCTTGATGGTCCAACAGAAAGCCCATCCTAGGATTTGCAAAGCCACAGCCTTTTATTTTCATGCATCGGGTCACGTTGAAGCCCACATTGCTCAGAAGTACTCTGGCATGGGTGTAACCTGCTTCATTATATCTCCAATGTTAAAGGACCGAGGATCAGAAACATGTTTCTCGAACTCCGTCTTGCCTACACTGGTTCACCAGTCCAGCCAAGGGAGAGCTGGTGAACCTTGGTGGTAGGAGGCTGGGACATGGGAGGTGTAGTGACACTATGGGCTGGGACCTGTGGGTGGGGGGGTCCCCGGACACAGCTGCAGGCCATCAGAAGACGTTTGCTGCGGGCCCGGGCCATCTGTGCCGCTGTCCGGGTACCGGGGTCCTGAGCGGGGCTCGGAGTGGGACTGGGCTTCAGAGCACGACCGTGGCCTGGACACTGGCTCGGAGTGGGACTGGGCTTCAGAGCACGACCGTGGCCTGGACACTGGCTCGGAGTGGGACTGGGCTTCAGAGCACGACTGTGGCCTGGACACTGGCTCGGAGTGCCCCGACGGGTCAGGCACTGAAGGCCCAGAACGTTCTGGAAGGCCCTCTTGAACTCCTTACTGGAGCAGGGGTAGATGATGGGATTGATGCAGCTGTTGAAGTAGCCCAGCCAGAAGGTCACCTTGAACACAGTTTCTGAGGGTCTGTGGGCTGGGAAAATGGAACCTGTATGACAGATAAAAGGATGGCTAATTAGCAGCAGGCACAGACAGAGGAGCATTAGCATCTATCTGCGTGTTACAGAGTGTATCACTTTACATCATCATACTATATATATATATATATATATATATACAGTACTCTGAAAAAATCTTAGACAGTCAGAGATATTTATCTGGGTAGGAAGTACATATTTGGTGAGAAAAATTTCACATTAACTAGATGAATAGCACTTTGGTTCATAAACCTCTCCTCAGGGGGCATCTCTGTCGTTCAATGCATCCATTACATTTCAATACCAGCACACAATTAATGAACTTATTTAGTTAAATAATTCAATGAATTATTGTTAAGCCAAATAAGGTCGGATCAAACGCTGGGTGTATATTGGATGGTTGCTACAAATCCTGGGGTGACTTCAGGAGAAAGCTTTGAAATGGTGAAGCTGCTGCTCTTTTACAGACATAGTATAGTTTTGCATCAACATGAAGATCATTTAGACTCATTTTCTTGATTTTATTGATAAAATATATGTCAGATGAGGTTGACATACGTACACCTCCAGTCAAAAGTTTTTGCACACACTGAGATTTTCTACATTTGCATGTTACTCACTTAACATTGCAGTATGTTCACCGTTCGAGTACCTTTATTAGCAAGAAAATGTCATATCTTTGATTCATCAAAGTAACCTCCTCTAGCAGTTATAACAGCAGAGAACATTCAAGCCATTCTTTTCTACAAGGGACATTAAATACTGCTCTGTATCATGGGATGAAATAGCTCACTAGTGCATTTAGAGTTCTATGACAGCCTAGAATTGACTATGTCATCACCACACAACCAGTTAATAGGATGTCAGACATGCACTGTTATATACTCTTTCCATGTCATAAAGGAAACTTGTTTTATTTGACTTATATTTTCATTTACAATTGTTCCCTAACAGGAATTTAAAAAATCCACAAATGGAAAAGTGGTAAAAATGTTTGACTTGAACATCGTCACTTTTCCAAAGTTTACACAATATATACTTTATGAGCATAATAAATTTGTATCCCATTATAGCGCTCACTGGAAACAAAATAAGAATGCTGATGCTGTAATGTTGGAAATAATTTCTAGAAATTATTCCATTGGATTAAATATGTTTAAGTATGTACGTATTCATTTGGATTACAATAAAACAGGTAACGTGTCACTCATAGCTGTATAAAATATTTCTCAAAAGTAAAATGTTTTATTAAGGATAATCAAATATAACAATTAGTATATAGATTGTCCCAACTCACAACCTATGAAGGTTACAACAACTCACACATATGCACATATGACCAAAGATTTTTTTTTTTTTAATTAAGAAAATAAACAATATTTTTATTTATTGTTACAATATTTTTGTAACAATAAATTTTGGGCAGTCATCTGGCTAACAACGCTACGCCAACCAACTCCTTCTCACACGCATCTCCCCGTCTCACTCTCCCTCCAAGAGCGATTATCCTATTCCGACATACCTCTGTCTCGACATACAACCGTTCCGTCTGAATGGAACCCAGTCGTAAGTCTGGGATTGTTCGTAATATATTTTAGTGCTAACTTAGACATAAAGGTGGAATTCAACTTGCAGAGGTTCTGACAGCAAGGGAACATAGTCTGGCAGTGAAGATCCAGCTTCATTTAAATGTAGCTGCCGTCTAACCTCCTCTGTCTGGCGTGGAAAGGTAATTAAATGGGGCAAAACCACAGGTGGCCCTCAAATGATTGTATCGTGCTCTGTCTGCGGACCGGGAACGAGCATCTCACAGGATATTCTACTGTGACGACAGAAATCCGACTTGCTAAAGAAAACAGGATTGAGAAAAAGAGTTTGTATTATTGCAAGATATTTCTGATAAAATCATATTAATTTCCCTCTTCGGGTCGATCTTATGCAGCGGCCTGCATTATGTAAACAGGGAACCAAATCAGCTATATTCACATTCCAGTAATTTTGTAGAAAAGATATAGTCCACGTTAATAAAACATAATGTGAGTAATAACGGGAAAGTAGCAGGATTCTCAGGAAAGTGACGGTACCCTGAGCGGCACTTAAGAGCCGGAGCACCGGCACCCCTCCCCTCCCGTGGACCATTCCTCACTCCCGCTGTGACGGAGGGATCCTGTCCTGCGGGACACGGGTGGTGGGGGGTAGGGCTGGGAGGGGGAGGAGCCAGTTTGTCTCTGTCGTGCCGATATCAGGTAGCTGTCAAGGTGGAGAACATTAACCGGGCTCACACTGTTTCTGGGGGGGCGGGAGGACATCTAGGCATCTATGCAGGGTTCTCACTGACACTGATGGCTGACGATAGAAAGCTCACCCACCTACCTTAGCCTGTGTGCAGTAAACTTTAGCAGTGGAATAGGACTGGTGGTCTTCCATCTAACTCAATACTCATGCTGATCTGAGTGCTACGAACAGCCATGGATCTCCGCCAGGTTGGGGCTCTTCTCTCCCCCACCCCCCCCCCCATTCATTGCCGTTATGGAGTCCTTTACTCCACTGTCCCCACTTTGCCCTCCCCAGTCCTGGAAGAGCCCATCCTCTCAATCACTCGCTCAGCGCTTTGTGCGCTTTGGCATTTCTCAGGTGCTTCTGGGGGGGCAATTGAAAGGTTTGACTTGTTTATGAGGGGTTGTGGGCGGGGGCTTCTTTCCTACTGAAATGTACGGAGAAGCGAACGAAAACTTTAAATCAAAGTGAAAAAGCCGATTTCACGACGTCCTTCCAGACAGCTTACCATCCCGAGGCCGGGAGGCAGAAACGACCAGGAGCTTGTTAGCGCCTCGCCGACCGCCCGCTCACGCCGACCGCTCCTCAGTCTCATATCCGACACGCCCTAAATCTTGGCATCTGGCATTTCATACCTTGTCAAAAACGGCAGGCCCCTTATTAAACGCCCACAGTGTCTGCATCAAACGAAACGGGGCTGTTTGGGAAGGGTAAATCCAATCGGTCAAAAGTCAGATTATCTTTTTGTTTTGTTTAGACAAACCTCAAAGCAGCCTTCAATGGAAAGGCGAGAAATGTTCTGCCTTATTTACACTCGCGTCATCCGTCAAGCTGCACAAAGGGCTTTACAATGATTTACATGCATTTTCACAGGGAGCATCGAAAAATCCAGAATGTCAATATTGAGAAAAGAGGAAAATGACTCCCTGATCCCTTCAATAAAAAGTGGCACTCAAGAATAATAGTGTCTATAAAATAACATAAGTAATATAAAAAAGGCTTGATCCTGGATGTCAGCAGCTGGGACCACGGGAGCTGGGGGGGGGGGTCGCGGCAAGTCTGGCAGATGCCTGGGCCACTTCTCTGGGTCAAAAAAACATGTGGGTGAGTTCTCAACACACTGGTGTAGGTCAGCTGTCAATCACCTTAGGCCCCTCCCCCTATGTCCCTTATACACAAAGCATGGCATGAGTATAAAAACTCCAGGGGTGCCACTAGATATTTTGGGCCCCACGAAAGCACATCATATTGGGCCCCCAACCCAGACTGATCCAACTACACTAAATCTTTCAGGGCCCCCGTCTCTCAGCAACCCTTGGAAACATCCTAAGTTCCCCCGCTTTACGGCACTGTTTGGAACAAAGCTGGCTTTTCCATGTTGTATAAGATCAATGAAGGTGCGAAAGGAAGATCGATATTGTGCAGGATGTCCACGTTTGTAATTAATGTACTGTTGTTTAAATGTTATCATGATTGATGTTCAGTGTTGGTTCGATAATCAAAGTTTAATCTTCCGAACAACAGCCGAATCACGCTGGTGACAGTGATGAGAGAGCAGAGGTCTGCTGTTATCAAGAGCACCAGGAAAAAGCACCACCATGCAGCCAGAAAGTACACGAGAATAACGCATGTGGTTTTTGGGTGAAATGGAAAAGAAAATCACACCAAGCTTATTTGTGCACCTCTGGGGTCTCCCTCCCTGTTCGCTCCGTTCTCTTTAAAGAGACAGTACCGATTTTGGCAAAAGCTAATCCGTGGATTTCACGCACCCCAGGTCAGACTCTAACACACTATGCAAAAAGTGGGAGCACAGCTGAAGTAGATGCCGGCCTGTGTTTTCCCGGCATCTGCGCCGTGACACGGAGGGGCGTGAGCGGCGTCTGCTAGCATTTATCCCTACACCATCACAAAGCAGAGTCTTGGTGGGGGGGGGGGGGGGGGTGAGGATCGGCTTGCTGTGGGCAAATCAAAAGCTCCGTGGGGATGGAAAAGTTAGCGGGCTGCTTTCGCACAATCCAATGACATACATAACTGTGCCGTGAGAAATGACTCACCAGAATCATCCACAGAAAAATATTTAAGCTACACAAATGAACTTCAGCCCATGTGAATTAAATTTCTATATGCAATTTGCTGTATTTCAAATTTGGAAGCTGAATATAACAGACTGGATTCCCCGGATATGGCTCTTCTACTTCTGTTCCCCTGTTAGGTTCCCAGTTAAACATAGAGACGCTAAGCCGCGTGCACATATATCACTGTGGAGCACAGTCCACCCACAGGCCTAGACACAGAGACCTCTGTTGGCATTTCCACCACAACAAAGGCGGCCAGCTTCATGACAGCAGTCAGGCGGTACGTTCACGGGCCTATGTAACCCTTCAGACGCTATCATCCCAAGGGCCTGGCCTGCAGGCTCCCCCTCTACTTGTTTTTGAAAGACGAGTGCGGCCAGCTGAATGATACGGCAGGCACGTGATGGGGGCCAGTCCAGCCGGCTCCGATATCTCCATGACAGAATATGCATTTGCCTGGGCTGAGCGAACTCCTGCATCTGGTGCATCAACTGACGCGTAATTATAGCATCCTAAAGCCCCCTTCCCTCCGTTACGCGTTTGCACACACAATCACACGCCACAGGAAGCTCAGAGACACCGATTAGCATCACTGGCTGCCTTTGGATCATGGGAGACCAGAGATACGTGAAGGAAGACCACACAACACAGGGGAGAACATGCAAGCTCCACACACACGCACACGCACACGCGCACACACACACATGGGCTGTCTACTTATATAATTACTGAAGCAGCCAAAAATCACAAATGACGCATGAATGACTCAGTACAGACATCCCAGCTCTCCCGGAAGTTCCGGGAATCTCCTGCAAGCTGACAGCGGTTCCCTGAGACCCGCGAATGATGCGCAATGTCCCGGAAATCTGTCATTCTGCTATTCAGTGGCGGCACAATTAGCCGACACAGAGTTTTACTGCCATAGCCCCAGTCAGCATTAGGCTTGGGCGGCATCTAATCTTTAATGCCATCATACCATCCATATATTTTACTGTGGTATACAGCATTCTGTTTTTTTTAAAAAGCAATGTAATTCTGGCATTTCACAAAGTACAGCGGGGTGGGGTGGTGTTTTCAAACAACCCCCCCCCCCCCCCCCCCACCCCCGGTTATCCATCAGCATCCCTGCCTAAGCTAGGATGTCTGCAGTGTTACAAATAAAATGCAGCTTTTCTCTGCGTATTTTGACAGTAACTATCTGAGTATTTTGAAAGTAACTATTAAGAGTCGGTAACCATACAGAGGCTTAATCCTATAATCCTACGAGTTAAATTGACAAAAAAAAAACACAGCACTGACTTTTCTATTCGGAACGGTATTTACGGCCCGAGCGGCGGAGCAGACAAGGCCTCGGCCTGCAAACGGCGGCGCTCAGCGTGACGGGAGAGACTCACCGATGGGCAGCACCAGGAAGAAGGGCAGCCAACAGAGGACAAAGCAGCCCACCACGATGCCCAGCGTCTTGGCGGCCTTCTTCTCGCGGGAGAACTTGAGGAGGCGCAGGGTGAAGTGCGTGCGGCTGCGCATAGCCTCGTCATCGTTGGCACACGCGGCGGCGTTGCCACGGTGCATGCGGAGCGTCACGCCATCGGGGTCAGAGCCGGCGGCCTTGTGTCCGTCCCTGAGGCCGCGTGTCTCTCGGCGAGCCACCACGTAGACGCGGCAGTACATGGCCAGCGTGATGGCCAGCGGCAGGTAGAAGGAGCCTATGGCTGAGAAGACGGCGTAGGCCGGCTCCTGCGTGATCCGGCACACGGACTCGTCTGGCGGCGCCGGCTCCCTCCAGCCCAGGAGCGGCCCCACGGAGATGGTGATGGACAGGGCCCAGAGCACGGCCAGCGCCAAGAGGCCACGCCGGCGCGTCACGATCGAGGGGTAGCGCAGCGGGTAGCTGACGCCGATGTAGCGGTCCACGGAGATGACGCACAGGCTCATGATGGAGGCGGTGCAGCAGAGCACGTCGACCGCAGCCCAGACGCTACACAGCGGGCGCCCGAACACCCAGCGACCCAGCACCTCGAACGTGGCCGAGAAGGGCAGCACGGCCGCGCTCAGCAGCAGGTCGGCCACCGCCAGGTTGGCGATGAAATAGTGCGTGACCGTGCGTAGGTGGCGGTGGCAGGCCACTGACAGGATCACCAGCGTATTCCCCAGGACCCCGAACACCACGAAGACCACCAGCACCAGGCCCAGCAGAACCGCCTTGGCCACATTGAGCTCCGGCCCCAGGCTGTGAGAGCACCCGGAGCAATTGGGCGGTAGGAAAGCCAGGGTCTCATTCCCCCCAGGCGGGGGCATCTGGCCGGGGTACTCTGCCATTCTTGGAGGAGGCAGGGATGCTATTACATCTGCACGAGGTTCCTCATCATGGAACACACCTGGCTTTTTCCTCAAGGAGACGCAGAAGCAGACGGAACATCGGTACGTCGTCAGCGCATTGTTGAAGGTCAGTGACGCTCGAGTCTGTGCGACGCTGCTAATTGCTGATGCTCCAGATTAGAGTAGGCAGCTACAAACTGATGGAGCATATCAATGCGATAAATAAAACGTCACAGTCGCTTAAGAAACGCAAAGTACATCCTTGGCGATCTGTTTCCTGGTGATTTCCAGAAATGCTCTGAGATGGATCGACAAGTATTTACCCTTCTAGCTCCCCCCATCTCCCGCTAAGCTCACCTTGACAGTTCTTTGACCATTCTCCCCCCCCATACATGTCTAGGAGTGATATGCTTTAGACTAATAGAGTTTGGCCCTTCACTTCCTCCTCATTGGATTTTCTTGCAACACTGCGCGCACAGTTAGCCCGCACTGCCATATCTCATTTAGTTTGACTTCAGGGGACACTGGACAAAAGCTCGCTCCCATTCAGCATTATGAAAAAAAAAATACACACACACACAATCCATAAAATGATGCTGAGAAAGCCGGGTGGAATCTGGCCAGGGGGGTGGGGAGGTATTTTTGCTGAAAGGGTTTGTCCATCTCGCCGGTCACCTGCCTGAATGCAGGAACGAGTCCAGACTCCTGACTGTGAAACCCTGAAAAACAGAGAAGGAGACCCCAATGAAGTCCTCACCTCACCAGCCATGACAGCAAGCAGAAGAGCAGCACCTCAACCTCAGCAGAATTTAGCGGAAGCTAAATCGCGTGATCTTCAGCACGATGATGTCATGAGCTCTATCCGTCTCATGACGAAATGCACACCTGCCGCAGATAACGCCCAAATCCGAACCGACCAAAATAGCGGGGGTTTATCTAGCAGTGGTCCAGGTGTGGCGTTTCAGTCGACCCTTTCATCTTGGCTCTCAGGACGGCATGTTTCTGCACATCCGTAGCCCTGCTGCTGACTCTGATGTTCAGGTGTGCTTTGATCAGGTAAATATACAGCCTCCCATCTCAAGCCAGCAGTGTGGTGCCTCCCACCACAACCGCGCTCCATTTTGCATCAAGGAAAAAAAATCACTTTCTTTGAGAGGAAAATTTGACCTGGAATCTCTGATTACATTGCGAGGAAAGCAGGGAACATGCTGGGTCATCAACTGGTTCCCATGCTAGAATCCTTCTTGTGGTCTACAGTCTATGGTACACATGAATTGACAAATAATTAATAAAACCATGTTTGACTGAAACTTGCCTGATTTGTCAAGGTATAACTCAAAAATCTATTTTTATGTATTGCATTTCACATTTTAATTCTAGATGTACAATGACTTCTGCGATGGGCTGGCCCCCCGTCCTGGGTTGTTCCCCGCTGCGGATGCCCCGCGACCCAAAAAGGGTAAGCGGTTTGGAAAATGGATGGACGGATGTACAATGACTTTCATTTCGTTCTGCATATAAAGAGAGCCCCTGAGTTTGTCTTTATGTTGAATGTGTTGTCAGAAAAATAACTCCCAATATATTCATAATAATTCTACAGTAATAAAAATAACTACAGTACATATAGTACTGTGCTGCACCTCGAGCCGACGAACTGCTGAAGCCACACATGACTCACAAAGTAGTGCGTGCGCTCGTCATTACGAACCTGAATTAATATAATATAATAGGCTTTATGGTGGTCTGTTCGTAAGTACGGGTTGTCCGTAAGTCAGATGTTCTTAACCCGGAGACTGTCTGTAAGGAATATACTGTAATACATGCTTCTAAACACAACATTCAATCTCCCCCTAGCAAACAGACATGGTTTGAAGTTTAATCTGTGTCCTTCTAAAACCACAGCATTTCAGGACTTAATTTAACAGAAAAGTTTGCTTCACTACTAATGAGTGATGCGGAACATCGCCATCCCCATATGCAGCAATAAGCAACAACAAACTAATTAGTACTGAAGTAGCTCTATTAATAAGATTCAAACATTCATCAGCTAAACTTATCTTTTGGCTATTCAAGCATTCAGAAATGTAATTATACATGGATTTCCTGGCACAGGTAAAATGTGTGTCAGGCAGCTTAAAGCTTATTGTGAGAAAAGTAAATAACAAAACAAAGAACATTAAAAACAAGCTGTGGTTGCTACTGATACTGGTATTTATTAATAAAGCAAAACACATTACACATTATCAGTGGCTTCTAATTATTAGCGAGGGAACAGTTTAAAACATCATAGTGTAGTCAAAAAGGAATGAAAAAAGTTTTTTTTTATCAAATGATTTCAAGGTTCCAAAATGGTTTGGACATGTACTTTTTTCATTTAATAAAGTATGACATTAAGTGGCTAGACATTACCAAATAAGGTAGTTATACATATTGATCCATCTGGAGCCTGCGGCAGGCAGCATATGGCAGGGAAACGCCCCGGACGGATGCCAGTCTGGAGATGCCAGCTCACCAATCTTATATTGCCCAGATATAGGTATATAAGAACTAAAGGAATCACAGACTTCCACAGTCGAAATGGGAGACATCCGTCACGACACAGCAAAGGCCTGGATGCTTAGTTAATTTTGTTTTTTGAGGGGGGGGGGGGGGGGCAAAGAAAAGGCATCGCTGGAAAAAAATTCTCAGGTAGAACTGGTTGGAATATATGTGAAGTCAAATGGTTGAAAATGGTATAGCCCAAGACAACCAAACAAAATGGTATGGCTCAATGCGACCAAACAAAATGGTATGGCCCAATGCAACCAAACAAAATGGTATGGTCCAATGCGACCAAACAAAATGGTATGGCCCAATGCAACCAAACAAAATGGTATGGTCCAATGTGACCAAACACTGATCCTTTTGCCTCATTGCTAAGCACTATGTGTGGCACAGGGCTAACAGAGCAAATTACACTGATGTATCTAGTGGCATCACAGTAATATTGTGGGAATACTGGAAGAATATTTGTTTTCCTGAAGGACACTGATCCGGAGCTCAGAGAAAAAGCCACACTGGAATGGCTTCTCCAGTATTGAAATGCGTTGCTCACCAATAAGCCCCTTCAAGATTAACAGAGCTAATTTAAAAATAAGAAATTATATTCAGCTAGCCAAAGCTGGCAGGGACTGACCCAAGCTGACTCAAAGCCATAATTAATCCCAAAGAAATACCAAATAAATACCAATATGCATTCAGAGGGCAGACTAATTTCTGTTCATTTTGTTTGGGTTTAGTATGATGTTATAGCAGTTTATGTTTACTAGAGAGCACAATCCAGGTGAATTCAATTTTATCTGCATGTTGAAGCTGAATAAAACATAAAAAAATGAAAATGGTCGAAGAAGACGTATTTTAGCCACCATATGTAAATTACGTCAAAGAAGATTTTACTTTTAATGTTTCTATCACACACTACGGATAATTTGGAGATGCTACTTAGCATGACCACAGATCTTCAACCTGAGGGTGGAACCGACAGGAAACCCATGCAACAAAGAGAACATGCAGAGAACATGCAGAGAACATGCAGAGAACATGCGCACATATAGAGCTGAAGAAGCATTCAAAGCCCCCAGCGCTGGATGTGAACCAACTGTCATTTCCATCGCTGTGTGAACTGGTGTAAACCCGCATGCCATGCACCTCTGCTACACGTGTGACACTCTCTGTTTGTGAGCTGCCAATCAATACTGAAATGCAGCCGGCTCCCGGGGAACTAAATCCTAATCCCCCTGTGCCACATAGAAAAAGGGGATGCAGGCTCCTTAATCCCACCAACATCGAGCCAAGATAACCGGCCTTCCACACCTCCACAAGCGGAACCCTGCACGATTCCAAAGGGACTCCTGAAGCTTTGGTCAGTTATTTCTAATTCAATCTAATTCAATTGGTAACTACGCTAGAGTCCCTGAGCTCAGGGCCATTGATCTGACCACACAATCAGCGATGGGGGTGGATATGGGGGGGGGACTCAGTGACGCAGAGATAAACCAGTGTGAGAAGATAATAGAGAAAGCAAAACAGGCATAGACTGTAAGGAAGGAAGGGCAGTGAGGTAGAGACAGTGATGAGCAGTGGGCAGTGATGGCACTAGGGATACTGAGAGAGTGAGAGTAAGCAGAAGGTGGTGAAGCTATGAAGTGGTGAGAGCAGAGAAGGATGGGTCAGAGAGAGGCGGAGCCTAAAATTGCAGAAGCACATAGAGGACAGTGAAGGACAGTGAGGGTGCAGAGGGCGCAGAAAGGGAGTGAGGGTACAGAGAACAATAAAGGACAGTGAGGCAGTTAGGGCTGAGAAAGGCATGCAGTGAGGGCACAGAGAACAGTGAAGGAGAGTGAAGGTACAGAGAGCTCAGAAAGGCAGTGAGGGTACATAGGACTGTGAAGGACAGTGCAGCTGGGAGGGCTCAGAAAGTCAGTGAGGATACAGAGGACAATGAAGAACAGTGTGACTGTGAGGGCTGAGGATGGCAGTGAGGATGCAGTGGACAGTGAAAGAAATTGCAGCTCTGAGTGGTCAGAAAGGCAGTGAGGGTACAGAGGACAGTGAAGGACACTGCGGCTGTTAGGGTTCAGAATGGCAGTGACAGTACAAAGGACAGTGAGTGAAGGGTGGGCAAGCTCTGGTAACAAAAAACTACTGACAAATAAAAATGTTGCAGTGTTACAAACTGCAGTGTCACGTAAGCCAGGAGCCTATTTATGGAATCACAGGGTGTAAGGCAGGGTTCACCCTGTAGGGGGGGCTAGAGAAAACATGGCATTTGGCCGCGAAGAGAGACGCTTCTGCAGAAAATGCTACATCCACCAGTTAAAAAGTGCTTTGAATCATCATTTGTCAATTTGGGCCCAGGACATAAACACTGTGGTTACCATCTTAAATCCTGCAGACACCCAGACCCAGACATACACCCATGCTAGACTAAAACCACAGTTTTAACACGCTGTACTGTTGACATCTGAATGTATTTTTTTATGTTCTTTTTGGTTTTAGGTTTCCATAGTGTAGTGGTGATCACATTCGCCTTACACATGAAAGGTTGGCGGCTCCAGACCGAGGGAGAAAGATGCATGAAGTCGGTCCTCAGTATCCATGGATTCAATCAATCGCAGCTTAGGGGAAAAAAAAATCCGGAAAGTTCCAAAAAGCTAATTCTGAGTTTGCCACATGCAGAGCACTATGTTAAATTAAGTAATGTGTAGGGATAGCTTACATCTATAAATGAAAATACAGAGTTCTTATACTTTTTATTATTCTCTAAACAGTTCAGTATAACAACCATTTACCCAGCATGCACATTGTATTAGGCATTATAAGAGATGATACACAGAAGGACGTGTCCAAGTTATATGGAAATACTTTGCTGTTTTGTATAAGGGACTTTAAGAATCTGTGGATTTTGGTACCTGTAAGGGGTTCCAGAACCAATTTCCCACAGATGCTGAGAGACCACTTTGTATGACTCAGCAGGTCAGGACTGTGCCCGTGATCAGAAGGTTGCTAGTTCAAATCCCATGACGGGGAGAGTGATGTTACTGTTCGGCCCTTGAGCAAAGTGCTTATCCCCAATTGCTCCAGGGTCCACTTGGCCCTGCTTTCACAATTCCGTGTTGCCTTGGATATTAGCATCTCCTGAATAAGTAGACTACAGAAAGTATTATAGCAGTAAATAACA